TCGCGCCCCTGGGCCCGTGCGCCGCGGTCAAGCAGCGACCCCAGCCCCAGCCGCCCGCGGCCCTGCGCCTGGCCCGGCCCCTGCGCGCCGCCGCCGTAGCCATAGCCGGCGCCGGCCCCAGGCCCCATCTCGGCGGCAGCGGCGGCGAGACCGGCAGGCCCGTGGGCCATTCCACCGAAGGCGCCGTCCTCAATTTCCACAAACACGCCGTCGACGTCGCGGCTGGGCGGCAGGGGGAGGGGCTGGCCGGTGACGTCATCGAGCTCCGGCTGCGACTCCAGGTCACGGTAGAGGTCGTCCGCCAGGCGGCGCACCGCGCGCAGCAGGCCTGGCGTGGCGGGCGGCGCGCAGCGATTTAGAAAGAAGGGGACTAGGAACACGTCTGGCGTTGCTCCACAATTTGGGGGCCGAGGCCGTCAAGCTTTACATACTAGAAACCCTGCAAGGACCAGGGCTGCAGGGCAACAGCTGCCGCCCGTTCTTGCTTGCGCAAGTGTGCTGAGGGCCCATGCGACACAAGCAGGTCACGCGCAAACAAAATGCCGCGGGAGGATTGTGGCTGCGGCGCCTCACCCTGGGGCGTGAGGTGGTCCGCGGGCATCGCGACCTGGATCATGCCCCCCAGGCAGAAGTGCGCCGTTGCAAACGGAGGGTAGCGCCCGCCGCGCAGCCGCGACAGCGCCAGGGGGTCGCCGTCGCCGCTGCCGGCCGGCGCGGTGGGGGCGTCGCTGGTGCTGCTGCTGCTGCTGCCCGCGCCCTCGCCAGAGCCAAGAAGGGAGAGCAGCATGCGGCCGTCGGAAAAGCGGCGCTGCGCACGGGGTGCCGAAGGCGTTTGTGGGCGGTTTGAGCAAGGGAACACGGGTTAGCAACGTACGCGGAGGGGCGTGGTGGTGGATCAAAGGATGAGCGTATAAGCTGGGGCAGGTTTGCACGAGAGACCGACCCGGCGTCCAGCCAAGCAGCCAGCCAGCCGTCCGCCGCATGTAGCCTTGATCGGCCCCACCAGATCGCCACGCCTCCCGCCCGCACAGCTCTGCACGTTCCCACCAGCAGGGCGCAACCAGCAAACATCTCGCGGGCCCTCCAAGCCCCGGCCCCTCACCAGGACCTCTGGCGCGTAGGCGTGCCGGCAGTTGGGGCAGTCCGAGCACCAGCTGCGCCGCAGCCACTCCCCTAGGCAGCGCGCGTGCATCCACCTCATCGAGCCGCTGCACGTCAGGCAGGGCGCGACCAAGCGCCCCGAGGGGCCCTCCTCCGCCTCCCTGAAGCACACCCAGCACTCCGCGTCCGCCGGCGCGGCCTCCCCCCACTCTCCGCCGTCGCTGAGCTCTTCCGGCTCCTCGGACACGCCGTCGACGCCACCGTCGCCGAACGTGCGGCCGCAGCATGCGCATACGGCGCCGTCGTCTTCCTCCCCCTCCTCCTCCCCGTCCTCGTCCTCCTGATCGTCATAATCCTCGTCATAATCATCCTCATCCTCATCCACCAGCCCCGGCCCGCTCCCAAAGCCAACCGCTGCTGCCCCTGCTGCTGCCGCTGCTGCCAACGCTGCTGCCCGCGCGGGTGCCCCCCGCTGCTCGTCCTCGGCCGCTGCCGCCGCCGCCTCCTCCTCCTCGTCATCCTCCTCGTCCGTCCACTCCTCCTCGCTGCTGCCTGCTGCCCGCGCGTGCAGCACCCGGCAGAGGGAGCAGTCGCACTCGCTCTCCACGTCCTCCTCATCATGACTTGCAGCGGCGTCGCTGCCGCTGTCTGAGGCGTCGGCTGCCTGCAGCAGGTCAAAGGGGTTGGCGTCTGCCGCCGCCGCAACGACTGCGCCGCCGGCGCCAGCTTGCGCTGCGGCAGCGGCCGCGCTGGCAATGTCCTCGTCGTCTGGGAGGGCGTCTTCCGAACCGCTGCTGGCTTCGTCGCCGTCGACGCTGCTGTCGCTGTCGTCTGTGGCTATCAGGGGCGGCATCTCGTCGTCGCTGCCGCTTGCATGGCAGGTGTCGCTCTCAGGGGCTTCGCTGCCTGCGGCAGTGAGCAGGGGTGGTAGCGGGATGCGAACTCATGTGCCACGCACCAAAGCTTGCCGCTGTTTGCAACCTGTTGGGTTTGCAGTGGCGACTACACATGCGCCGCGCGCGCAGCGTCACTGCATGTGTGCATGCGCACGCCGCACGCAACCGAGAATGCGCGATCTACCGCACGGCGGCGCGCGCCTCTCACCAGAGCTGCCCTCGTCGTCTGTGCACCACTCGCCCTCGTCCTCCTCGATATCGCTGAGTTGGTCATCGTCGCTGGTCGGGTCGCAATCGTCTGACTCTGAGAGGTCCGGCAGATCCGGCGCCGCGAGCTGGCGCAGCTTGCCCATGTTTGGTGCTGCTGTTGCGAGGTCGCAGGAAGCCCTGTCGAGCACAGCCAGAGGCCCGACGGGAGCTGTGCGAGCTACAAGGAGTCTCTTAGAAGGAGCTCGATAATATGCGCCCTCGCGCCCGTCGCAAGGCGATGGCAAGCTTTGGTTGATGCGTTCAGATCAGTGTACTGCACTTGGACAAAAATTGGGAGCTCTGAACGACCCAATTGCGTCACGCATGATGTTTTATCTTGACACAGCTACTTCTGAACATCATAAAGTGTCATTGCATCCATCCGCACGGCTTCAAACCAACACCGAGAGGCAATGCGCTCTTGTTTGCACGGGCAGAGGATTCAAGCGTGGTGCAGCGCATCCAGTCTGCAGGCAGCAGCCCTTGGCACTCGGCGCGCAGCGCGCCGGCAAGTGGCACCGCACGCTCAAAGCGGCAGCGCCTTCAGCAGCATGTCGTCATCCGGTGGGTTCAGCCATGCTTTTCAGATTACGAGCAAACTGCATGAGAGCAAGGGCCCTACACCTTCGGTCGTGGCGCTGTCAATGTTCACACCTGCGCCTGTTCCGGCACTGTACGATCAAAGCATGCAGCAACCATTCAACATGAACACCTGGAGAGCACAAACGCCAGCAGCACATACGAAAAACGCCGGCCGCCGCTCATTTGCATCCCCTCGCGCCATCCTCAGACCTGGACGGCGGCGAGGCCAGCCAGGGGGGTGGCAAGCTCAAGGTGCTGTGCCTCCACGGCTTCATGCAGACCGCCGACGTGAGCATGGGGCTCGGGTCGGCTGAGACAGGAGCGCCGGGGCGGGGCTGGACTGAAGGCTAGGGGTGGGGACTTTGAAAAACAATCTAGGTCATATCCAAGGCGTTGATCATGTCCTGGAGATCTGATGAATCGGGCGGTGTGTCAAAGGTGTGGTTGCCCTTGGTCTATCATGGTGCTGGTTCGATGGGTTTTGTCGTGTACTCCAGCCGAGACGTGTGCAGGCGCATGAACCCGCCCTCGCGTCACGCGCGCAGAGGCAGATCCCGCCGCTCACCCCCTATCCCATTCCCCACGCCGGCCCACCTCAGGCTTTCCGCATGCGCGTCGGCTCCATGCGCAAGGCCCTCAAGAGCCGCGTCGAATTCGAATTCCTGGACGCCCCCTTCCTCGCCGGTGACCACCTGAGCGCCGAGCAGATCGCGGAACTGGGGGGGTCGGCCAGCGGCCGCACTTGGATCAAGTGGGCCGACATGGCGCCCGGGAAACGGCCGTCCCAGAGCACCGCCTACATCGACTTTGACCAGACGTATCTGCACATGGTTGACGGCCTGCGCGCCCACGCGCCGGACGGCGTCCTGGGGTTCAGCCAGGGCGCGACGGCGGTGGCGCTGCTGCTGGCGCAGCTGAAGCGGCGGCAGGATCGGGGGCTCGACCTCGACGTGCCCGCGCCACGGTTCGCAGTCTTGGTGGGCGGCCGGTGGGGGCACCCCTGTGGGGTTGCGGACCGCTGCGCTGCCAGGACCTGTCGACCCTGCCCGTACGATGTACGTGCACGCGTGCGCCACACCCCCCCTTCCCCTCGCCCCCACCGTCCTTCCCTGCAGCACAGGCAAGCCCCCTTCCTGCCGCGCCCCCATCGCGCCCCACGCCCCGGCCTCGCCCCTGTCAACGCACCCTTTCCCCCCTTTCCCCTTTCAGGTGGCCGGCTTCCTGCCCCGCGACCCGACGTACTCGGAGCTTTTGGCGGCTGAGCGCGTGACAACGCCCAGCCTGTTCGTCGTGGGGGAGGCCGACGCCCTGGTGCCCCCAGAACGCACGCTGGCGCTGATGGACACGTTTGACCCGCAGAGCACCAGTCTGCTGAGGCACGCGGGTGAGCGGACGCGCGGGAGAGAAAGGGCCGGGCGCTTTGGGACGGGCGCTGGAGGCACACAGGCGTGCAAGATGCCCCGGGGGGAGGGGGTTGGGTGTCGCGCATGTCACCTGGGGCGACGCTGGTGGTGGCGGCGCTCAGCCGGGCGCGGTTGGCATGTCCCGGGCTGTGCAGTCCAGCCGCGACCTTGGTCGGCCCCGCAACGCATCCTCCGTTCACGATCGCTCCCAAACGGACGCGCCCGCGCGGGCGCCGCCCATGCTCCCGGCCGCGCCGCGCGACGCTCCTCAGGCGCGCACATGGTGCCGACGTGCAGCGGCGATGTCAAGAGGCAGATGGCCGAATTCCTGGACGGCTTCAAGCCCCCTGCAGCTGCCGCCGCCGCCGAGGACGCGGGCGCGTTCTCCGCGGGCGCCGCCGCGGCGGGGCCTGGGCCGGCGCCCGAGGAGGCCGCTGTGGTGGCGTAATTGCGCCACGCGGCGTCACTCCGCGGCGCAACCCTGTGGCGCAACCCCATGGCCGAACTTGGCGGCGCAACCCTGGCACGCTTCTGCCCCCCGCGCTGCCGCAATGCAGCTCAGGGCCGTCCCCCTCTGGCTTGCCTTGCGTGTGCTGTGTCAAAACCCCATTTGCATCCAGCGTCGCAGCTAGCAGTGAAGCTGCAATTTGAAAAGCCCTGTTCACGTCCGCCAGGCTGTAACTTGCCATAGTTTTTCCAGGTGTCGCCTTGCCTCACCCATGCGCCCGCTTACACCAGCTCTGCAGCTGCACGCGCGTAGCCGTCCCGCCGCCTGCCGCCCGCCTTGAACCCAGCCCCCTAGTCCCCAGCACCATTCAGAAGCGGGGATTACACGTCAGCGTGTGCCAACAAAGCATGCGGGCGCGGCGGCCCGCACCGGCCCTGCCCTCGGACCGCCCTACTGACCCTGCGCCGCCAGCGGGGCGCTGAGGAAGCAGTGGTGCGCGGCCAGCAGCGACGGCGGCTCCCCGTCCGGCCGCGGCTCGGGCGGCTGGCCGGGCTTGCGAATCCTAGTCAGCATCATGACGGCCTGCAGCTCGGGCCCCAGGGAGCACACCAGGCACAGGTCTGGCCGGGCAGAGCCTGGCGCGTCGTAGCGGCGCTGCAGGCGGGCGGGGCGGGGCGGGGG